CACCCACTTCTTTTGCAATAACATTAGGATATGCTATTTTCTGATAACCTCGATTTATATGTTTTGGCTGCCTGTTCACCAAAATACACACAGTTTTTTTTATTTTCACATATACAGTGACCTCCTACCTTGGTCTAGGTTTCACTGATGACACTGGAGACTCGGAAGTGCTACCTTTTTCTTTCAGTATACATAACCAATAACTTTGGTTCAACAACAATTGTTATACACAACATTTGATTTTACTTTTATGAAATATCCTTTTTGATATTCTCCTGCTAGAATTCGGGGTACGATCCCCCATTGTGAGCACAATATAAATACACTATTGGCACTAAATCGAAAAAAACTTATTCTAAGGTGGAAAAATTAATAGGTAATTTTTTCATAACTTACCAAAAGTGTTAGCGTTTAAATATATTTGGTCAAGTTATTGGAGGATGTCTCAAGGAATCACCAGAAAGTGATTATGAAACAATTACCCTCATCTGTGGAAGAATGGGCAATAAATAAGTATTGAAAAATTAAATATCAATATGTATGTTTGTAAGGTAACAAAAACTCCAAGTTACTACAACTCCATTTTTACACCCAACTGAATGTAATTAAGCTTTATTAGAAGTTTTAATAAACTCATAAAAAGCTTACTTGAGCCAATTTCTTGGAGATCTCTGCTAGGTTTATAAGATACAAATACACAGAAGATATACTGGTCCACCTTAGTAGGAAATGTAAATAAAAATATACACTCATGGGACTAGAAAGGCTCATTTATCACAATCATCTGACTATAAGCATGTACCTATCCCACCTATAGGATGTAAGGGACGAGATACTATCCATTCTATATATGGAAGGAATAGTACTGGTAGTGAATCTTCTCTTGCTTGTAAACATGAAAGTGACAACTGAAAGCATTCAATAGGCAACTTTGGAATGAGAAGTTTGTAGAAAATTAACAGATAGAGGTGAATTTAACCTCTTAGGACTGGATGAACAACCATATGCCAAGACAAAGTATGTAAGGATTGTATCTACAGGATAGGATTTTTACAGAAATGGTGGTAGGTGATCGAATCAATCATACTCTGATAACCTGTTAAATGAAAAAGGATATCTGAAATTACACAAGTAGATACCCAAAGAAGATAGTTCGACACGTAGAACTAATAGGGTAATTGTATTACTCACATGTTATGGGGAAAAAAAAGGCTTTCTTAAGATATGAAGAGTTGATCCAGTGGATGTGATGGATTAAAAATCAGGTCATCCAATATCCAGTCGTGACAAAGAACCAGTTGATAATGCATTATTATATTCGAATGGCATGAAAATTGGACTGTTGGGATAATGTTGTATAAAGCAGCAGGAGTGGTCTTCTCCAGAAGATAACCAAGCCATAAATTATTTTGAGTTCAACAGGTACCAACAATAATGGAGGACAACTCCTCGACATAGATCAATATCTCAAAGAAAATCCACTACTTATCCAACCGACAAGTTCATCTTAGAAGGATAAAACCATAATTGACAAATTTGGAGAAAGGATCTGATTTAATGTTGTAAACATGATAGTTTATAATTAATACGATTAAGTATGTAATTATTTTTTTGGGTCAGTGCTGCAGAGGAGTGGTATATTTAAGGTTCATATTTCATTTCTGGAATCATTTATGGCTTCTTACATGATGGTCCAAAAGTTAGTTGCTCCACATTCAAATCCTTTCTATGTGGATAACATTTGATTTGCAGCACATTTGTCAGTTTATAAAAGCTGGAGAAAACTAATTCAATTTTCAAAATAATTTTTATGTTAACATTAACCTTCAGTAGAGGGTTTGTATGACCGATATGTCGTCGGGCAATGTTAGTACGACGATTCTAAATTATATTTAGATAAAATATCTATACTCAAATTAACCCATCAACATCAGACTTTCAACATAAGAGAGACTTTTTTCTTTTTGTAATCAACACTGCTTAACAACCAACAAGTATAGTCTTACCAACAAGTCTTACTCGTACTGTTCGAAATTGGTTTAAACAGAGTTGTCAGAAGAGAAAGTATGAGGACACGACATTTACAAAATTCTAAACTTAGACATAGTTCTGCCACGAGAGACAATTTTATTGATTCAAGATTAAAACTAGGTCTCCAACAGCATCTGACGCTGATTGACTTGAAGAAAATCAGCCAGAGTTTGTTCACTGGCTTACCCTGAACTTTGGACCTTCTGACCCGCACTCCGGCACTTTAACCATTAGGCTACACTCAGCCAAAAGATAAAGGAAGCTTATTGTAGCATCATGAATTTTAACTAAACGTTGCATAATTTACTGTGTTTGAATCCTTTATATTTTTATTAAAACATCCTGTTCTCAATATATGTAGAATTATTTTATCATTGCAGATATATGCTATAACGTATCATAATGTCAAGGTATCTGATCATCTGAGGATTGAACTAACTGATGTTCCCAATACGCAAAATCCTAAATAAATAATTCTTCCTGACTACCGTAAAAATGTTGAGAAAATATCAATATTTACAAACCTAGGAATAGGACAATCACAAATGTAGTATTTGTTACTTTTTCCTTTTTATTCAGATTTTTACTTACTTAGATTATTATCTATGTCGTATTCAGGAGGTTCTGAAAACGATATGCACAGAATAAGTTGAAGTTTAACAGCAAAAAAAAAACCAAACGCACAAACGGGCCTGGCATAACCTGGTGGTTAGGGTGGATTCGAATCCCCGTTACCGAACGTGTTCTCCCTTTCAGCTATGGGGTGTTATAATGTGATACCCAACCACAGGCGTCCGCAGAGGGAAAAAGGGGTACTTGCCCCCTCTCGGAAAATGGGAAACATAATTATTTCTTTATCCATTCAGCACATTCACATTACTCATTAAATTAAATTTCGATTCTAATAAAAGTCACCAGGTTTATAATCAGCTTTACTTAAAATCGCTAGTTACCTACCATGTAGCTAAATGTTGAAAAACGTCGCTACCACGGCGGCTTCTTGGTTATTGGACATGGAAATTCTCACTCAGGTCATCAAATAGACCTACGCGGTCTTGCCGACATCCCCTGAGCCCTGACACAGTGGGATCAAAGTCAACCTGTTGCTACCTACCGGTATCCGGCAGCGGGTTATCAAAGAAACTGACACAGTCTTGCAGCCGTTCCATGAGACAGCATGGTCGGGGTCAACCAAAATTTACTGTTATGGAGTTTATATAGCTGTAAGTCTGCAGTATGGCTTAAACTAGTTTTATAAATATTAAACCCATCAAATCAGACTGTGGGAGCTTGTCTATTCTATTGACTGTAGTGGCAAAACTTTGAAGGCGGGTCCATCGTCCCTTGATTTTGACTTTGCCACCCCTGGAAAAATTTAAGCAGACGCCCACTCAAACCCACTATTCGTTGGTACAAGAGTAGCCCAAGAGTTGGCGGGGGTTAATGTTGACTAGCTGCCTTCCTTCTAGTCTATCACTGCCAAATTAGGGACTGCTAGCGCAGATAACCCTTGAATAGTTTTGTGCGAATATTAAAATATACCAAATCATGTGAAAACGTAACAAAAATTCTTTATCGCAATTTCGTTTACAGTCTCTATTTACCAGAATGGTCAGCCTTTGTGTTCCATAGTGACTACTGTGGCTACTGGGGTTGAGAGGAGTCTTTCGTTTCTACGTTCATACCTGAAAAGAACAAAAAGAATTGTGATTTATTATGTGAAATCCAGACTAAATGTTTAAAGTGCGCTATACCAGAATTCACTGCTGCATACGTCGCCGACTATTCAAAATAACATTTTTAGAGGAGAAAAACTTAATTCCATTTAAATTTGGGGTCGGCTACTCCGGTATTTGTATTAGCCAATAATTTTTATACTTGGGTGGTTAGTAACCCTAAATGACAAGTAGGCTCGGTGACGGAGATTCGAACTCGCGACTCGCAGATTACTTGTCGGGCGCCTTCGCCACCAGGCCAGAAGAAAAACAAACAAACACTAACACATGCTAGCTTGTACAATTATTTATGTCACCATTTGATGACAGAGTCAAAATGATACGTGTTTCTAGCCACAGGCTTATGGAATCTTAACCCGACTAAAAGAATTAGCTTATTTTTACAGCCTTTTGACATTCGGTTAAAACTTTAGCTGAATATAGCCGATTTAAAGATAAAGTCTAGATTAGTTATAGAAAGATGAAATTCATGACTATTAATATAATTACTCTTGTTCACAGGCGTATCTGCCTCGAGAAACAGGTCATTCTTCATCTTTCTCATATGTTTGTTTGTTTGTTTTGAATTTCGCGAAAAGCTTCACGAGCTAGCCGTCTCTAATTTAACAGTGAAAGACTAGAGGGAAGACAGCTAGTAATTACCACCCACCGCCAATTCTTGGGCTACTCTTTTACCAACGAATAGTGGGATTGACCATCACTTTATAACGCCCTCACGCCTGAAAGGGCGAGCATGTTTGGTGTGATGGGGATTCGAACCCGCGACCCGCAGATTGCGAGTCGAGTGCCCTAACCACCTGGCCATGCCGGGTTCTTTCTCATATAACAAAACAACCTCGCTGTTACCTCTGGTTAATTCTGATGGTAATGAAATTTATTTTTTAGATGTGTAAAATTTATGTAAGTGATTAAAAACATTGATTGACTGGGCTTTAGTTACATAAATATAAAGTTTCATATATTTAATATTTTTGAAATGTTTCTTTATTTTCTAGTTTATGCGTGTTAAATAAATGTTAATCTATTTATCAAAAATATATATGTCATGACTTTATTATCAGATAAAATATATTTCTATTATACTAAAAATTAGCTTATTTTTTATTTTCTAGACAGCGTTCTTTTAGCGATCATTGCGCTACTGGTTTTTTGTAAGCCAGAAGCGCTGATTGGTTGTTTTTGAAAATCTGGTAAGTTTGATAAAACGTTAACGTGTGTCAGGAATTGATAGACTTTAGTAATAGTTAATGTTAACGAAAACGGATGTTTTATATAAATTACGAGTAATAGAAAATTGGTTTCTTCATGAAGTGTAAGATATAACTTACCAGGTAAATTACTTTTTGGGGAAATTGACAACTACAGAATTTTCTACTGTTTTTATGTTAAGCAAGTTAATATTAAGAATACTGTTAGTGATATTGCTACTAGTACTAGTTCTTGTATTATAAGTATTACTGTTGTTACGTTTTCAAATCACATGATTATTCAATGTAATACTAACTGATTCTATTACTACTGTTAGGATTATATAACCTTATCTTCATACTGTTACAATACTAGTTACTACAATTAGTTTAACTTTTTGACTGGACATTAACCTTCTAATTTTCTAACTGACTTCTACTTTCTAGTTCTACTTTACTTTAGTCTTTGTATTGTAAGTTGTTCTGGCTGTAGTGTAAGCCTAAAAGGTAAATTTTAGAGTGGCAAGGCTTAGCAACATTGTGTGTATTTCTAAATCTTAAGTCAGGTACAGTCACAAATAACCATAATTTCTAATTAATTTGTTTTAAAGATTCCACTGATAAATTGTGGTACTTTCTACTGTTATTAATTGCTGTAACTTAATCAAGTTAGGGACATAACGGACTGTCTCAGAGAACATGAGGTTTAACTTGTTAAAAATAAAAACTTAAAAGTATAAGATTAAGAATGTCTTGTATTAGGGGGTTTCATCGAATGTTAATTAAATAGCGACAGTAAAAACAATTACACACCATTGGTTTTCACAGCAAAAAAATTAGTAATCTACACTGCAATTTAAATTGTTTTGATAATTAACAAAAAACATTTAATAGTTGTACATGTAAACTTACCTTTTGCACCATGCAAAAGTATAATTGAAACAATGCAAATAAAATTGCTTTACATGGTAACCTAAGACATTGCATGAAATTTAAACTTGTGACAAGGCAAGATAAAATGTAGCCCTAACAAAATACTTCAGTTTAAATGTTTTAATATATCCTGTATGCGTGAATTTATATTGATAAAAGAAATGAAAACTGTCATCAACCAAATGCTAGAACTTAAGTATGAACTTACATATTTAATGATTGACAGATGTATGCATGCTATGATGTAAAGGCAAACTGTTGTCAAGTCAATGTGTCATCTGCTTCCAGTTCCAATTCATCCTGTTTTCTTAACAGGCTATTGGCTGGAATTGTGCTGACATATATATATATATATATATATATATCAACTTATGAATTATCAAATAAAGAAAACAAAGTTCATTATATGGGTTATTTTTTTCCAAATTCAATGACAGGAAGGTGTTTATTAATAGTTCCAAAGTGTTGTTTGTGGGTTTTCAAACAGAAAATGCTTCTGGATACAAAACAAAAAAACACCCAGAAATATGAAGAGAGCTATCGTCTGATATACCATTGACTCTCATTAGCCAAGCACTCGCTCACAGATGCCCTGTTTTTGGTGCTTACATTTGCTCATTGGTCACTGCAAAATGGCAGAGAAATGTTCAGCAATCCTGGCAATCTTATCATAACCAATTTACAACTAGTGGGAATATGGTTGCCTTGAAATAAATAGTGCAAACTTATCACATAATAGTACTGTAGACTTTTTACTTTTGTTGTTTGGTGTACAGTAAGTGTTTTGATTATGGGAGATTTATATATTCACAACTACAACTTTGAACCCAGACGCTTTTGTGGCTGAGAACTAAATTATCTGGGAATCCCTACTACTGTTACTTGAACTATGATGACAGGCTTTCTCTGTAATTTAGATTGAAACTAGAGCAATAAATTTACAGAGGAGTAAAAAGTTTGGTTAAAAAACTACGTTGTATGTTGCAGTGGTTGTAATGAAAATTTAGATTGCTGATGTAAACGATATTTGAGATTTTGAACTTTACTAGTACTGTAATTTATGTCAACTTTGATTAAAAAAATTCATCAAAGTAAATTTTTTTGTGTCATATAGAAATATTAGAATTTTATTTAATGAGTAGTTATGTATTAAGAATTTTAGTAGTCTTAAATGTTCCTGAAGTGACCAATTTAGCAGTGTTTTTATATACAGTATTTTTTTAGTATTTGTTATTCCTGTAATCTTTTCTTTTAACAGGATAAAAGTTTTTGTACCAAGATGGCACCTACTTCTCAGAAAATGTCACTCGTAGCCCAGTTTGATGACTTGTGTCGTTACTCTGGAGTTTTGATGTGTGGAAATGAAAGTGGTAAGATATGATTAATACACTGTATATGTAACAGTTTTGGATTCTGTACTGTTTACACAACACCTTGCAAATATATATATATATATGTTAAAAAGTTTTGTAATTATATTCATTTCAAAAGTGTAAGAGAGGTTTCATAAGTTGGAAAGGTTATAATGGCTTTTCCAACTAATACAGGGGATAAATTAGTTTGGTGTATTTGATTAACAGAAACTTTTAATCAGTATCGAATTTAATTAGCAAGTATTGCTTAGCATCTTTTTAACATTCATCATTTTTACAGATTATGGCAACTAAATTCAACATTAAAACTTAACTCTTTGTAAAGACATTTACTAATGAAAAGAAGTAAATGGTATGTTTTTATTCTAATAACACTTTTATTCAGACTCAAATCCTAATATTTAATTGTACCATACATGAACAAAATAGTTTCTGGTATATGAAGTAAAACTGCAAGAAATACCAAACACCTCAGCTGTCACAAAATAATTCAACAGTTGATTAACGAGAGAAAGAAATGACTTGTAGCAATTGCAACTGAACAAGGTTGCCACAAAATATTTTTCAAATTAATCTAGTTTGTTTATTTTATTTTGTCGTGAGATCTCATCACTCTCTTCACAATGTGGCCTCCTTGTTATTTTGAAGAAGAAAATGTTTAGTGACTTTTCATTATCCCCTCGTGCCATGGGCATCTTTTACTGTGCATGTCAGGAGGTTTTTAGTGAGTTACATTCAAAATTTAATTAAATAACTTTTGGTTTGTTCATATTATACAAATTAGTACAGCATAAAATTATAGCTAATCAGCCATATTTTAATAGTATATAAGTTTATGTTATTAATTTTATAAGGCAATATTGAAAAAAAAGATCCTGAATTCCCCTATTGTGAGAAATGTGACTTTTTTTTGTAGGAATCCCATCTTGTATAATTTATTCATCACCCCTCCAAGAAGTACAAATTTAATGGTAAATTACTTATTATAATATTGTCATTGCTTAGATAAAGCATAATTTTCATAACTTCAATTTTGTTTGGTTACAGAGTCATCAAATAAAAAACAGACTCCTCTTGCCACACCCATCTGCCACATTCTCTTTCAGGATTTGTCAATAGTTCTCACTTACATTTAATACTATATTATATTTTTAACCAATAGAAAGCCAAGGTTTTCATCAATCAAATGACATATTATATTACATTGTTTTCTGTATAGAAAAATGTTAATTTCTCTTTCAGTACAAGCTTGGTTCCCATGGGAAGCACTAGCTTTGATAAATTAATAACAGCTCTTGTTGCATAGTTAGAAAGCCATAAAAATTGTGATAGTTATGGGACATTGTCTGCTCTTCACATGTTATTAGTCTATGTTCTTTGGTGAATTATTTAGTGCACTACTACCTTTATACTAATGGTAGTAGTGCACTACTACCATTAGTATAAAAAAAAGTAGGGTTAAATGTCATTCACAGTCAACAGCACAAAAAAAAAGAATGCTCAGGTAAGTACTTTATTTCTTGTTTTCCATGTGTATTCTTTATTTATTCTTATAAAAGTAACTAAAATGTAAAAAGAGGAAACTCTTTAAGTTAGTTAAGGTTAGATTAAGTAAAATTAATAATAAAAAATGTTCACGGGCACGCACAAGAACAGCTTGGAGTACCTTGTGGGTAATATAATTCAATAGTATAAAGTGATCCACCTGTTCCCCAAGTGATTTATAACTTATATTTTAATGGTGCCAATTGTACTAGTAGTTAGACATGGTTAAAAGGGCAATATAATAATAATAAAATTTAAGTATAAACAGAAGTATACTGTTATGAGTTAAATGCTACTTGGGATAAAATAATGTTTAATTTTACAATTTGAAGTTCTAGAAAGAAAAAAGGTAATCTAGATATATTTTGATTTTTTTTGGTGGCTATCATGTCGGTCAAATTAGGATACAAGTATACATAATACTACTCAGACAAATTTTAAGAAATAACAATATAAGGTTTAAAGTTTTATTGGAAAATACACCCATTTGAAATGTATTTAGGAGGTTTTAAAAATTACGTAACTGATATTTTTGAAATGAAGAAAAGTATTTTTGATCTTAAATCATTTTGCACTCGATATGGTCAAAGAAGACTATGTTCACAGACAAATCTTAAGTAAAGATACTTCATTAGATAATTGATTTTTTGTGTACAAATGACTTGTAATGTTTGCTAAAAGTTTGCCAAATTTAGTGAAGATACATGCACTGTATTAAAAGTTATACTATTAAAACTATATACAAGTAAAAATGGTCATGTGGTAGGTCCTTGGGCCAGAGCCTATGTTGAGAGAGTTCGTAACTGGCTCGGTGTTGCAAGTGCAATGCATGTACTGTACGTACATAGTTTAGTCTAGTTGCCTAGGCTGCGGGAGCCGAACAGCCACATTCTAAATGTCATGAACAGACTACTATAAAGTGTAGGTGTATGCAATATACACATGACAAAGTATGAAAATATCGTATGTGCCCTTTGGTGGGAATTTCCAAGAAATTGACATAAGCTTTGGCTTTGTTATATCAATCTGAAACCTTACTGTACTTTCACTAAGCAAAGAGTAAAGTGAGTTGCAACTGGGGTTGTTTTGATTCGCAAATTGTGATCCGAACTTGGATATTTGGTCCCTTACAATTTAAATATTTTGAGGTGTTCAAGAACTGTATAGTAAATTACTGTGCTTAAAGGCATATGTAATGATACTGGACCAAAATACTGATTGATGGTTAAAGAGAGATAAAGTTGACACTTCCAAACATCATGTTCCTCAATTAAGTTACAATTTGAAATATAATTACAAAATATGTTAATCAAACAAATTTGGTCAATTACATTCATTTATTTTTAGACAGAGCATTGCTATTTATTTCTTGTTTTACCATTGGAAATGTCCTAAATCAGTAACTCTCTGTTTATTATTATTGATTATTTTTGTAGGTGAGGTTAATAAACTAAAGGGTAAAAAATAATTGGTATGTCCGTTATTGTCATAAACTGTAATGTGTATATAATTCATTTCTCTTGTGTGTGTTTCAGAGTTTCTTGCTTTTGTGAGAAATCAAAATGAGAAAAGAACCCAAAATTTGGCATCAGTAAAAGAAATACAGAGGCTGAAAAGAGATTTAACGAAAGCTAAAGAAGAGAACAACACCTTAGAAACCAAACTAAAACATGCTAAGTAGGTTGGAAAAAAAATATGTAAAACAATATAATTATTTAATTAAGAGATTTATCACAATTTCCTATGTGAGAACCAGAAATATATAAATAGTTTTAAGATGGATAATTATTAAAGTAAATGAATTGGAATAGTATTTTAACACTTGCATATTTCATGTGCTCAAGTTCCAAAAATTGTGGGTTTTATTTCTTATTAACTAATATGAACTAGTATTTCCTATTCATACTATATATTAAGGATTTTTTTTTTGTATCTTAATAGAATTAAAGTATTTTAAGAACCAGATTTATCGTTCCATATATCTGTCACGTCAGTTTATAATCTCACTTGTTAGACTGTTTATACACTGAGTCTCATTTTGGTTGCTTTGTTTTTTTATCATTATATATTACAGAAGTGTTTCAGTATGTATGTCTGATTGAGGAGAAAGATTATTTAGGATGGAGAAACAAAGGAACCTTGACTACTTCGATGACAAGGAACCCACTTTGAGACTAATAATGCTTGGAGACGGCTTGAATGGGTAATGAAGAAAAACTTTAATATAAGTTTAACATAAGAGCAAATGTACAACGTTTCGACAAGGTTTTGTCATCATCAGGTGTATTTGCTGTTATGTTAAACATGTGTTAAAGTTTTTCTTCCTTACCAATTCAAGCCATCTCCAAACATTATTAACGTTGACTACTGTTTTATTTGAGGTTTAATAAGAAAATATTTGTTATTATTACTGTGTTAATGAGTAGTTCTGATAGATTCTTTGTCAAAAAATGTTTTTAGACTGTAGATGAAAAATTGTTTATATAAACTAGTTTAAGTTCAGAAGGTTAAGATACATAAATGTATCCTCTTTACTCTTTATTGGCACATAGGTACTAATTTGTTAATAATTTTGTCTCTAACCTACTTATGTTAGAAGCCTAATAGACACAGAAATGAAAAAGCGAATGAAAGCAGAAGCTGATCGTTCTTCCCTGGTAAGTAGGAACTGCTTTAGTGTTTATAAGTAAACTTTCTATTAGGTACAAGTTTTAAATTTAGCCCATGAATAGTTTAAGTTTTGTTTCAAGGTGTTGTTTATTAATACTTTTTTGTTATGTATTTTTCTGCAGTGTTATTTCAGTGATTGCTAGATAGTTTCTTAGACTTTGAAATTTAGGTTTAAGTAAAAATATTGTTTATATAATTACATGTTTGGATAGATGTTTTATAAAAGTTCTGATATTGTTCTATTTTACTAGAAAAAAGTAAATATATAAATAAACAGAAATATGAATGAAAAACTATTTAATTGGTGATATTTCCTAGAATGAAAATAAAATTTGTAAAAATTAAGGAAGTTGTCATGTATCATGAAGCCTATTAGGAATGAAAGTTATAGCCCTCACTGAATATATTATTTTTTAGAATTTAATATTCTGTTCATTTAATGAGAGAGAGTATGAACTTTTGTAATTGAAACACCATAAGATTACGTAACCTTTAACACAAGATTTAAAACTTTGAAACTGGGTCCTTAAAAAAAATGTTTCTGTGGGTTTTGGTTTCATTCTAACTTGAGAAAACGATCAGTTCTGATGCTTTTCTTTAAAAGCTATTTGAATTCTGGGATAATTTTTAATTATTGTTACTGTTAAATTACTTGCAAAAATATTGAATTTCATAGCAAATTTGTTTTATCTAGGAGAGACAGATTGCTTTAATTAGGGATGTGCTGTTAACAGACCAAAATGTAATGAATGATCAAACGAGAGAGAAATTGGCATTCCTGAACAACACATCACAAGCCAATGCTAGGCAGCCACAACATGATTCACCCAGAAGGTAGGTTGTCTCAATCATCATTGCAAATACAAGCATGAATTAAAGTCTTTAAATTTTTACACAGGTGATTTTTTTCTATATACAAACACTCAGTATAGAATATAAAGTGTTTTAAAGTAATGGTTTTCTGAATGCAGTAGAAGAAATTATTTCAAAATCAGGTAACTGTTGTTCTGAAGAATAGTATATGTGTGAGTTGTACTAATTTTAGTTATGTTTATCCAGTATCGAGCTGTGCTTGTAGTCTGCTAACTTCATGCAGATGGTTATTTGTATGTTACATTATAACAAGGGAGCTTTATAAAACAAATTGTTAGTAAAAAGAGAATACATCAAATGGGTGTGGACTTTTTAAAATAAACTTATCCAAGGGACAAAAGGTTAGAAAAATTTACAAAACTTGTGTGTAAGATTAGAATATAACTTCAGATTTTGATATTATAACATAATGTTTAGGGACAACATGGGACCTATTGGTTCATCTAGGCTGTCCCATCCTCTAAACTAAACTAAAACTATTAAAATAAAACAAACCTCAAAGTCAGCCCTTATAATTAAAATAGTTATCAAGCTTTCTCTTAACCCTATGATGATGATGATGTAATTCAATGGGTAATTTCACATCTTTATCTTTTCAATTAAAGTTTATTTTTAACTTTCCTTTCCAATTCTTTGTCTTTTATTATTCATGCCAGTACATCAACAGGTCCCCGCAGGGCTCTGTAATTATTATAGACAGACATGCACAGACTTTTTCGCTAATGCTTGCAACACAGCTTCGACTTTGTAAGGGGGTGTGGCTGACCTTAAAATTTACAATGCTTCATGTGACGAGAAATTCTTAGAAAGTTTCCAGACAGTAATACAATACGTCTGTTTAATATACTTTCACCATCTAAACTAAGAGTCTATATTAGCTACTCAATTTCTTGTATAAGAGCTCTTTAAAGGTGAGAATTGTAATCGCGAGCGAATCACTTGACAGCAAAAAAAATTGCAGTTTTAACTCTATCCCCACAGGTTTCCTTTACTGCGCATGACACTAGGTTTTAATGTCTTACATTCAAAATGTTATTAAACTACTTTTTGTTTGTTATACCAATTAGTATAGCATAAAATCTTAGCTAATAATTCATATTTTAATAGTATATAAGTTTTAAGTTCTTAATTCTGTAAGGCAATATTTAAAAGAATCCTGAATTTCCCCTAGTGTGACACATTTTCTCTATTGTATCTGCCACCCCTCCAATAACTATGAAATTAAATGTAAATTTCTCGCTATAAAATTGTCATTGCTCAGACAAATGATAATTTTTATAATCTTCAATTTTGTTTGGTTACAGAGCTATCAAATAGAAAATCAGACCCCTCCTGTCACATCCTCTCTTTCCTCTCTTATGTTTAATTATATATTACCTATAACCAATAGAAAGTCAAGGTTTTCATCTATCAAATGATGTATTCTATTACATTGTGTTATGAACAGATTATTGTCAATTTCACTTGTAATACAAGCTTCGTTTCCACAGAAAAGCCAACGGTTAGCCTGGATGAATTTGTAACGGCTCTTGTCACATAGTTAGAAAGCCAGAAAAATTGTGATTGTTAGAGGAAATTGTTTGCTTTTGCATGTTATTATTCTATGTTCTTTGGTGCATTACTTAATTAAATAAAAATTATTTAATGAACTACTACCATTAGTAAAAAAAAAGTAGGGTTAAATGTCATTCACAGTCAACAGCACAAAAAAAAGAATGCTCAGGTAAGTACTTTATTTCTTGTTTTTCATGTTTATTCTTTATTTATTATTATAAAAGTAACCCAAATGTAAAAATATGGATCTCTTTAGGTTAGTTAAGGTTAGATTAAGTAAAATATATATTATAATAAAAATATTTTACAAGGCACGCACGTGAACAGCTCGAAGTTGCTCATAGGTAATGTAATTCAATAGCGTAACATGAGATGCACATTCCCCAAGTGATTTACAACTTGTAATGGTGCTAATAGTAATTAGACACAGTTCAAAGGACAATAAAAGGTAATTATAAGTAGATGTATATTGTTACAAGTTTAAAGCTAGTTAGGATAAACGAATGCAGTTTCACGCTACATTTGAAGTCATTCTATTAAGAAAAGGAGAGTAATTTAGATTGGGGGGGGGGGATATGAGGTCAGTCAAATTAACCAACCTTGTATAGAGTTAGGGTAGAGAAAATAACAGATAAAATATAAAGTTTTACTGAAGCCAAACATTTGAAATGTACTTAGGAGGTTTTAGAGATTACAAAAACTAAATTTGAGATTTTTGAGATGAAGAAAAGTATTTATAATTTTAACATGAAAATCACTGCACACTGACTATTTAAAACAAATATTCGATATATTCAAGGACAAATCTTTTTTTAGTTTATTGAAAATACTTCACTGAAATTTTTTTTTTATGTGAAAGACTTGTGATATCTACTGATAGACTGCCAAATTTCGTGAAGATATACGTACTATATTAAAAGTTAGTAGTATCAAATCTATAAAGACTTTGAAAGAATACAAAGAGGTCATGTGGTTGGTCAAATTGACCGAGTCTGTGTTGAGAGAGTTAATTGTTGTTTTAGGTGTTTCTTTCTAAAATAAAGGAATAATACTTAGATAATATAAAACTTTAAATTATAATGTAGTTGATAATAATAATTTCATTAAAATGCATTTTTAGTAAAGTGGTTTAATTATATTTTGAATGTAACTCAGTAACATGCACAGAAGAGGGTTAATGGGGTTTTAAAATGGCATTGTTGCTATAGCATTAAACTCACTTAAATTTACTGCCTCCATAACATCCAAATGCAACCCGTTTAAAGGCCAACCACCATGTTAGAAAAATGAAACTGTCTTAGCTGAAGTTGACTCATACCCTGTCAAAATTTATATTTGTGTCCCCTTGTCCTACCTTTCTCACCATTAAGTACGAAAAAAAGATGATGCATCAACACTTTTTTTTATTATATAATCAAGATAAAACAGTTTTCTTCAAAAACATGGTTCTTATGAAACTGGGAAATGCCAGTGAATTTTATATTTTGCATTTCCAGCCTGTGGAAAATTGGAGAACTTCATTTTTACAGACAAAAACCAGGAAAAGCTAGTGAATTTCATGTGATTCAATGATGTTTCTAGAACATGAATGACAAAAAAAAAAAAATAATTATTAATTGCAAAAAATTGCACACAAGCTAATTCTGGTACATTTAGCATGTAAATGTGCATATTTTATGTAAAAAGTTTTATTTACATCTGTCTTTGTTTACCATTAATTGTTACGGAATATGAAGGCAAGCATTATGTAAACAGTAGCTAGGTTCCCACCTAAATGGAATGTAATGGCTTTGGAAAACACTTCTGGTGTTGTTTCAACATCGGCTTAACACGTTCAAAGGCCCAAAGGAGTGGTTAGATTAAAAATGTTTTACGGAAGTTCTTACAAGGAATGTGACACTTGTGATAAGTGATTTACTATAAATGTAGATGCAGGAATGTTTTTCTTTTAAAGATATAATTAATGTAAAAACCCAATGATTAAATAGAAATAACTTTATTTTATATTTAAGTATTTCAAACAACCTCTTCAGGCTTAATATAAAAATGAAAGTAAACCTGTTGAGGTACAGTTACTTAAAATTACACTAGCTATTACACTTTTTTTTTTCAATTTCAGTGTTATGTTTTTACAGTGATTTTATTTTATTGTGTGTATCTCCTGAAATGACCAAAGTCCATTTCTTCTGAAAATTTTTTTTTTTTGCCTGACACCCATGTTGGAAATGTTCCAGATTTACAGTCAGCATTGAGCTGTCGTGATAGTTGCAATGCTGATTAGAATCATTGAATTTTAGAATGCACTCTATGTATTGCCTATAGTCGGCGACATCATCTTGTATATATTGCGAACAGTGATGTCTGTCTGTTAATCGACAGGTTTAAACTTTTCCCGTCACTGGGGACAGGTATTTTTGCTTGTTCTGTATATTATAGCTTGGGCAGGGATTGTTGACGGGTGATATCTCCAAGAGACAGGTATAATATCGGTAATTTAGTGAAAAAAAGTTTGGAAACAAATATTGAAATATAGAATGCTTCATTGACAGTTACTGATAATGGTCATAGATAAGTTTTTTTTAGAAAATGTTACTATTCATTATCCACAAATCTTTGAAGGAACAGTTGAACTTGTGCCAGTGAATAATTGAATACATCATGTTCATCTAATAATCTATAATTTAATGAATACATCATGTCTACATGATAATCCATAATGTATCGGTTATCTTAATAATATATTAGAAAAAGTTACTGTTTGTCAAGTAAATATAGAAGATCCTAGGTACAAGATAGAATAAAGACTGAAGTTAAAGATGATTATGGATAGTTTTACAAAATTAAATCAACAGTTTTTACATTGTTTCGATAATATGAGCTTTCAGACCACAGTGTGATCTTGAGATAGAAATATTAGTCATTTTAGAGATTGTTTAGTTCTGCTAATAGTATGGTTAGGTACAGGTGATAGGTTAATGTTTTTTATTGTGTCTAATTCCAAGACCTAAACCAGAATAAAAGTAATGTGAATTATTTTATTAGAACTTTTACTTAGTAGCAGTTTGTATTCAATGTAATAAGTAGTATTATGTAGGAATAAAATAAAAACCTTGATCTTTGAGTGGTGTAATAATATAATGCAATATCATTGTCAATGACGAACATGTTTGTGTGTACACTGTGATTATGTAGGATTATTATCCAGTTATTTATAAGTATAATCTGATGAGCTTGTGAACAAACAAGACTTGTGTAAACCTGAGAATGTTTAATGATGTTAATTCAAAGATATTAGTTTGATCTAGATGAACTTTATATGCACAGTTTCAAACCATGTGCAAAATAATATATTATGCTCTGGTTAATGGATAATGTTGTTAACATGTGCAGTTGTTTCATAAGTATTGGAAGTATGAGTTTACTGTAGTGTGTGGTGAGCAACTAACATTTTTGTTACATGTACACACATCAGAAGATACCACTTTAATAAATATTTGACATATGAGGTCCCCCCTTCCATGAATTAAAAATCGAAACGTAGTAATCACAAATGTGATCATATTTATGCTGTAATAATGTTTTTACGACTTACGTTGAAATTCAGATGTGATCGGTACGAACAGTGCTAAACAAATGGGTAAACTACCTTTGTTGTGTATGTTCTGATAATTTTAGAATTACATACCTTGTCTTTATTGAACTATTCATGAATAACGTTTTGTAATCTCATATGCTATTATATATATAATTGTTGAGTCATAAATTTCAGTTATAGATCAATGGCCCGGGAATAACATATTGTAGGGAAAAGCTGGAATTTTATTTTGCCCAAGATGTGGGAACCATGAATGAGTGAACACAATCAGTCCAATGCCATTGGCAGTTCAGTTTTATTGGAAATTGTATATATACACACACACACACCCGTGTATTGTTTTTAACATTCAGACTAAGGTTTCATTGTACATCATGTACAATATATATACACACACTCTCATGTATTGTTTTTAATATTCAGACTAAAGTTTCATTGTACATCATGTACAGTATATATACACACACACATTCATGTATTGTTTTTAACATTCAGACTTTAAGGTTTCATTGTACATCATGTACAATATATATACACACACATTCATGTATTGTTTTTAACATTCAGACTTTAAAGTTTCTTTTTACATCATGTACAATATATATACACACATATTCATGTATTGTTTTTAACATTCAGACTTTAAGGTTTCATTTTACATCATATACAATACCCCACGTACAAATTGATAAAGGATGTTTTACATTAATGCTGCTGGGAATTCAAATGTTCAATACATTTTAAACTTGCAGTAGTGTTATTGGGTTTATTTACTGTAGGTGAAAGCATTATTATAATAATAATATTATATTAATTTAAATGCATTTGTTATTGTGTGTGTGTTACTGAGGGTATGCGAGTTAAAAAAAAAAGAGATGTATATGTGTGTGAATAGTTTTTGTTTCAGATGTATATTTTATAAAGTTTGTGTGTACTAGACATCTGCAGTTCAGACTTTTCAGGAACCTTGGTGGTTTATTAGAAATCTAACTGAAGTTTTTTTGTTTTGTTTTTATAGCAGTATAACAATTGATGTACAAAAAAAACTTTGTCGAACAGACAAAGTATGATGGGAAAACTTTTTATATGTCACATGAACATTATTATCCCAGACAAAGGGCAATATGAATTTTACACCCCGACACAACTTAGTTCTCAGATTAGTAAGAAATTATCTACTTTTGTTCTTAGGATGTTGAGGAATTTTTCATGTACAACTGGGCATATGACACTTTACTTTCTGCCCTGGGCTTGTTGGTCGGTAGTGTTTTAGAACAGTGAAATAAAAGGATTAACAACAGTAATTCTGTGCATAATAAGAAAAGCAAGTAGAGAATCATCATAGTTATTCGCTTCCTTTATTTTTTTCATTTTCTGATAAAATGTTTCAATTTAACTTGCATTTTAAACTGAGTAATCACAGTCCATTTTAAATTATCTGTGTATGCTTTTCTCATGTTACAGACTTGAAACAATTGACGAATCTCTTGGATCCTTGCTGTCACCATCTGATATCAGTTTTGATAAAACAGATGATGATGTAGACGGACAAGTTCCCCTTTCGAAACCTCGTGGACGAAGGTCCAAGGGCAAGAGAAAAAGTGGTCCTGAAAAAGAGATTACGCCACCGAAGAAGCAAAAATCTGGGGTAAACAATCTGGTTTATTAAACTGAAAGAAGAGATCACAATTACTTAAATTAATTAATTAAATCACATATATTTAAACTAAGACATTTTTTATCCTTAGACGTATAAAATGTATGTATAATTGAAAATGTGAAATAATGATTTTGTTACAACTGATGCATTGATTTAATGTGCTATTCACTGTATTTCTTACAACATACTGTTGTAAGAAGTTTGGCTAGGCCACACATTTTTTGAATTAATACATAAGGTGTTTTATTTCTACTTTTATTTATTACAATTAAATTCATTTTAGGAAATTGGAGAAGTTTTTGAGGACCAGACATCTCTTGTGGCCACAACAACTGTGACATTTCCTGCTAATGTCGAATTCCATGCATCTTCCACGGTTGAGACATATCCTAAACGTCGCAGTTTCAGTGATCCTTCGTCTCAAGATAGTGGGCCAAAGCTTTATCCAGACCTTAGATCTATACACAAATCAGGTATATTGTTTTATACATTTTGAAGGAATATAAAGATAATATCCTGCTGGTTTAAAGAAAACGTTCAAAGAAAGGTGAAGTAATATATTTCTAGTGTCAAAATGTATACAATATTATGCAATTTTGAATAATGGGTATGATAGTTGATATATCAGTAATAAAATGACTAAATTATATATGAAGTGCAGTATGATGAACTTAAAAACTTTGAAGTACTTGATAATATGATTCGGGGGTTCCCAGATATTCTCAGCACAAGGTTCTTTACCCAGTGAATCTATAAATACTGAGCACCTTTAACAGGATTTTGTATTTGCTGCAGCCCCCCAGTTTGTGAAACCCTTGGTATAATTCACTTAAAAACTACACAAAATATAGGTTATAGAGAATACATAATATTAAGTGTTTTGTTACTTTTACAATTCATTCACAGAGCCTGATGAAGACCATTATATAAAAGACAAAACAGAAACTGTTAACCATCCGAAACCTTCAGCCCCACCTACAGAACCTTTTACACCAACTTGTATCACCAATACAACACCAGTTAAAAGGTAATATTATTGTTTTTAATCCAGGATCATTTTGCTATTTTATGAACAAAATATAAAATTAATCACTTCCTAAAGATTTAAAGCATTTCATTTTATTGAATCTTGGTTGAAAAAGTGTGAAAACTCAATAACCTAATTATGCACTACTTTGTGCTACCTGCAAATGCCGTAAAGATTAACAGCTTTATAAGCACAATTTTACAAAGATGTAAAGTTAATTATCTTACTAGTTTCAGTGTATCGTGTGCAACATTTTCAAAGGTAAAAAAACGTGAAAACTACTTCCATTTAAGCCTAACTGGATATTTCAATTATTTAGTTGTTGCTAAAAGATGTTTAACTTACTAGTTGCTTGCTTGTACGTTAACATTTTGTGAATTGATAAGAAGTTTCAGAATGGAATTTCATAGAAATTAAAGAAAATAGTTACCAAACCTATTAAGTGAATACATAGGTTCCAAATAAATCTTATATAACTTTCTGTATTTTACTAACTGCAAATGTGATTCAATCTGATTTGTTTGTCTGTTAAAGCTGATAATGCAGACCAACTTCATTTACAGTAGGAATTTTAATCATAGCAGTTAAGTTTTAGTAATAGTTTACTATAAATTATATATATATGTACTTAATGATATGAAACTTAACTGATAATGCAGACCAACTTCATTTACAGTAGGAATTTTAATCATAGCAGTTAAGTTTTAGTAAAAGTTTTACTATAAGTTATATATATATACTTAATGATATGGAAAGGTGTGGCAATTTTGAATTATTCATGTTAGTTTTCTGTTCAGATAGTTTTGTCAGTTTCTGCCTTTAAAAAAAATTTATATTTCTGTTTGAAAATCACAAAGTGCAGACACAAATTTTCCATTTAAATTTTACCTGTTTTCAACTGGAAACTTTTTTGTTTGGTTTAGGGCTGCATTGTGTAATATTTTCTGATTTGCTTTAATTGTCATGTGAGTGATAATGCCTGCCCAGAGATAGTAGTGTGTAAGAGAAGATTACATGTAGCGAAACATCGTTTCTGTAAACTGTTACATCATACATGTTTAGAAGATAAATTACTTGCAAGACCTGTACAGATTTTAATATACAACATCTGTCAATTTCTTCAAGACTAGAATATTTCCTAGCCTAGAGATGTGAACATAAGTTAAATTTGTTTAATAACTGGGAATAAATTTAGTCTGTCTCTGTCCAATGCTAAATGTACTTAAGAACAAAGAGTTCCTAATATTACACCATAAGATAATTTAGACTAATGAATATTATATAACAAACAAAACAAGAAATCTTGGTATCATTGAAAAAAGGTTAACTCACATTTTCTTACTCTCCAACATACTAAATTACTAATTGGTGTTAAGAATTTCTAGCCATGGATAGTACAACGTCAAACAATTAGTGTTTGTAAGTGTCCAAATAAAATTGTAAACTTTGTACAGATTTAGATTACTAGATCTAGTTTAAAATCTAACTTTCTATACTCGCTATTAATAAAATCGAAGTTATGTTAATAAGATTGAAGTTATGTATGTTCCTGATGCTAGACTCTTGTATGCAGTTTTTTTCTATTGAAAATTTTTAAAAGCTGTTGACTGATATTAGTTTGCTGTAGTTTTTTATATATGTGCTATAATTTCTGTCATTTCTTTGTTAAGGTACATCTCGGGGATTTGTAATGACAACATAGTTAAGAACGTAGTTTTATGTATTATCAGTCCTAAACTGATAATTGATTAAAGTTTTCACAAATATCACTGAAATATATATTCTGAAAATTAAAGGAAAAATGTTACTGTCTTTCAGCACTCCCATTCGACACTTTAGTTCAGCAGGGAAGTTGAATAACCGGGCCCACGTTTTTTGTACAAAGACCGTAATACGTCCAGAAACTTGCCTCCCTTGTGGTAAACGCATTAGGTTTTATAAGCAAGCAATGAAATGTCAAGACTGCCGAGCTACTTGTCATCCGGAGTGCAAGGACCAAGTCCCTTTGCCTTGTGTTCCAACTACCCATACACCTACCAACAAAGGACCAATGGTTAGTTATACATAGTTCTTTAGCCTAATTACCTAAAGAGTATTACGTTAGTTACATGATAGTTTTTGTATGTTTTATCATCACTATGTGAACGAAGAGTTAATTATTACTAAATACAAGCCTTCTATAGCTTCCACTGTACAATTTTACAAGTACTTATTTACTCTGTATTGTTGTCTTGTGCATTTTATTTCATACAGACAGGCTCTATTATTATTATTAAAGACCTATTACAATTTATTATTGGTATATTTTCTAGCTTTAAGTCACCATTAAACCAGCTACTGATATTTATCATGAGTGAAACCCATAAAAAAAACCTTTTTTTTTTTTACTTTTACAATCAAACTTTTATCACAACTTGTAATTATTCAACACGTTTTGGCACTGTTTAACTGCTATAAGCAGGAGTAACTTTTTTGGCACATATGACTGCACTGAGAAATTTAAAAAAGAATGAGACAGTTTTTGGAAGGTGGAAGATGACAACCATAGCTGTACATGGTAACTTGCTGTTCCATCGTCAATATTTGGTAATGTACGTTGTAGTTTATTACACAAAAATTAAGTAGATTACCGACTATTATATTCCATTTCTGTATTTGGTAAGTTCAAGAGTTTGACCTCATTTCATAGGATGAATGACCCATTTTCTGGATGTGTTCTTAAAGGGGATGCAGTGGATGTCTTATTGTTACTTACATGATTTTTGTGTGCATTAAAATGGTATTTTAAACTGTGTTTAGTTTGACCCTATTTATATCTTGTTATACATTTGTATATTTTATGTATAAAATTTTTATCCAAGATATTTACTGTATCTTTGTCCTTAGGGTATAAAACTAGCTAGCCATTAAAATCTTTCATTTTGAATCTATTTTCATCATTCCTTGGTTATACCTTAGACTTGTATTGTGGTTACCCTCTACAAATTCTAATCTCATCCTGCTTGCTTATAAATATATTGGGTGTATGTAAAATCCTTTTCCTGTCCAGTTATGTAGCTCACAATTTAAGTAAAGAAGCATAAAGTATAGCATTTTCATACTGTACCAGAACATTTTTTTATGGTGATTTAGTTGGAAGGAAGTTTTGAAGATTAGTTGATGAAAGTGTTATTTTTTTTGTTTTCGTAGGGTACTATAGCAGATTATACACCTTCTTTTCCACCAATGGTTCCAGCTGTTATTGTTCATTGTATCAAAGAGATTGAAACCAGAGGTTTAACTGAAGTAGGACTGTATCGCATCTCTGGATACGACAAGGAAGTGAAAGATGTTAAGGAAAAATTTCTTCGGGGGAAGGGAGTTCCAAATATAGTAAGAAGCAGATCAAATTGCAGTTCCTTTCTTTGAATCCTTGCATTTAGTAGATCTAATATGTTGCGTTTCTATATCTCAACATTAAAGTTTATATAAAAAAAAAATGTGTGATATGAAATACTAAGTACATATGAAAAAAAAAAGAGTGCTAGCAGGTGAAAACGTTTCCAATGGATTTATCTGATTAAATGCTTTTTAGATGAATTTTTCACTGTTCTGAATAATTTTATAATTATTTCTTTGTAAACCATATTGTTAAATTTAAGCTCATCCTGTTAGAGATCACACATGCAATTGTTTCAATAAGCTTCCTATAAGATGTTTTCTTTCATTCAGAATAACCCTTTTTCATACTCCTACAAGTAAAATTTCATCTTTGGGTCATTTAAATTTCTAACAATTTATCTTATGCATATTATGTCTGTTTTTTGAATGCCAAAAAAACTTTTCTTTGTAACAGAGTAATACAGACATTCATGTTGTATGTGGAGTACTCAAAGACTTTCTTAGGTCATTAAGAGAGCCATTGATAACAAGAACACTGTGGAAAGACTTTACCACAGCTGGAGGTGAGTATATAACCAACCTAGAGAAAACAAATGCTCTTACTAGGAAATAAAAAAACAAAACATTTTTGTTAAACTCAGTTTTCTTTTTAAACTATAGATCAGGAGTGTTTTATATCTTATGTAAAGTCTAACATTTTTGTTGTAGCAGGTGAAAGATAATGTTAAAAGACTTACAATATTTTTAGATCAGTGTTTTTGTACAGTCATTTCAGTGCTATGTCATTAGCTCCATTCTGTGTTAATGTGTAGGATATTTTGCTTAATTAAATTAAAGCAGTTAGGTTTGATCACATGTTAATGTATGTTAAGTTTGATGCAAATGTTGTCTAAGATGTGGTCATAAAATAATGTTGAATGTCGTTTTCTTTTAAACAAAACTATTCTACCATGTTTTGTTTTGTTCTGTAGAATGTAATAAAACCTGAAGTCTTGTTTATTGTACAAAAAACAACTTAAATTAGTTTTTATTTTACCTTCAGGGCATCATAAAAAAAACCTGAAATTCTACATTTTTAGAAAGTTATCTGAGTTTATATATAGGTTTTTGAAATCCTTGGAAGTTATGGAAAATTAGTTCTAAAAATTGCAGTACTGGAGAAACAGGCTTAATTTTATAAAAGTTTTCTTATCGGAATCGGGTTTATTTTTTTTGTACTGACTACTGTCAATCTTTTTGCCTTGGGAAACCCAAGACTTATAATTTCCACTGACAGGCACATTTGAAGAACAAAAATGCAAGTATAATCTTGTGTAGTGGGATTTGATGCTTCTGAAAAATTGTTCTGATTTTGTTGTAAAAAGGTTTTCGTTTATTATTTAATTTAATTTATGGTATTAGTATTTGTCCTTAATATAACTAATTCCGAGTGAGAAACTTGCGACAGAAAAACGGTATGTTTTTTTTAACTGCTCTATCCACTATAAGACTGATGCTTTTAAATGTGTTTTAGAAATTATGATATACTGGGACATGGATACATTATTTCTGGTTTGTGCACAATAGCCGCTACACTTAGATGATGCATGGGATTTTAAGTGGGGATACTGAAGGACTTGCAGGATTGGAGAAATCCTTGATTACTTACTTCCTTTGATGATCAGACGTTGTACAGTTTCGCAACCAGTATAAATGTTTGGAAACCTTGTAAATCCAGCTTATAAAATGTTTTTCTACCATCATCCTTTAAGCCTGAAGTCCATATAAATGTAGTAGTAGTCTAATAACCCTATTAAAGCTTTGTACAACATAATAGAAGAGGCCTACTGTGGTTGTTAGTTGAGATTACGTTGAAGAGGTTAGTTTTTAATGTGTTGTCTAGGCTATTAATAAGTAAATATAAACACTTTTCTTTGAAATTTAGGTAATATTAAAGTAACTCAGATACAAGTACTTTCCATACCTTGCATATTTTTAATGGAATATAAGCATTGTATTAATTAAAAGTTCTCTTTGTTTTATGTAGAAATGACTGATCTACAAGACAGTTTTAGTGCTCTGTATCAAGCAGTCAGTCAGCTTCCCCAACCTAACCGAGACACATTAGCATATTTGATTATTCATCTTCAAAGGTTCGTTTGTTCGTAGTTCTAAAGAGTTTATGATTTATTCTAGTCTAGGGCAGAAATAACTTTCTGGGTCGGTGTGAGAGTTCCATACACTTATCATTATGAAGTTTTGGGGTTTCACATCCTCCTACACTGTAATAATTCTTTAATGCTTCTTACACCTCTGCTGTTTTTCTTGCAAGTGCGAAAAAATGATGATGAGCTCATGAAATTAATATTTTTAAAGTTTGAAAACTAAATATTTCTTGAATTCAAATACACTACCTTAGAACACTTTCAGAAATTGGATTTAAACAAAACTAGGGGTCAGCCAACATTTATCAGAATGTGACACATGGATACCATAGTCAGTTCCACCTTCCAAGCTACCAATATTATTTTATTCCTAAATATATTTTATTTGAAGAAACTGAAATCCCATTTGCATAAAAATATTATAAATATTGTTGTCATAAAATGAGATTCCAACCAGTGGCTCTGGGATGTTCACACGTAATGTCGGTTTGTGAACAACTATTCCTACCCTACGTCTGTATTAAATAGTGCAGTTAAAGTAAATCTTTCAACCTTATAGTTACCACCAGAGGGAGGGGCTATAAACATTTTTCTAAACTACTCTGCATCGTATTGCTTGTATGTCTGTGACTATTGGCTGCAGAGTCCTTAATAACACGAAAAGAAAATTGTAACAAAAATACTCTAAAGAAAGTATTACTGCCGAGTTGCTCAGTTATGTGTTTTACATAAAGTTAGTGACTTCAAACAATCGTTTCAGTCAGTTCTTTACACTGAGTATAGTAAAAAACAAACGTAAAGTTCCATAACATGATGCAATATAGGTGGATCACACAAATAATGCATAGTACAAATACAAATTGATAATTTTAGGGTTAAGTATTAGCATTCGTGATGAATTATATGCATAAAGACATATAATTACATAGACATTTTATCACATCATCATTATTTGATGATCAAAGTACTGTAATGTTTTTGAAGTTTACATGATGGAAAAGTTACTTCATTCATAGAGGTTTCAATACAAACCAAGAACTGAAGATCCACGAAGGGAAACTATCTACTGATCATATGTTTCTAAAGCTACATTAGCACGTTTCTTGTTTAAATTGTCATTAGTAGCAAAGTTACTATGAAAGAAACATATGATCAGCAGATAGTTTCCCTTCGTGGATAAAAAACAAGAAACATGCTACTGTAGCTTTAACTTTGCTACTAATGACAATTTACTATGAATTTATACTAATAAGTCTAACTATCTGTCTGTGCTTTTTAGAATAATCACTAAAATTTAATGTAGTTTAAATTAGTTTTTTTTAAGGTTTGACATTACATTCAAAGTAAATTACGTGTCACAAAACTACATGTGGAATGCAATTCTTTATTAACAGTGTCAGTTGATTTAGAGTATTTCATTGTAGATATCACACTATATGCAGTCTATCTGAGTAAAAAAAAAGAAAGCTTTTGCTGGAAAGATAATTTTGTTAAATTATTCACAAATGTTTAAACAACTATTCAATTATGTACCAGCTGCCTAGTGTAGGCTAACAATATGAAGAATTAAATTGTGGCAGAATGCTACAAGTTCTTCAAATACCTATACAATGATAGGTTTCTTTTTTGTGAGTGTAAAACACTTAAATACACCATTTCGATTTTTGATACCTCACTTCTATAAAGGCTTGGTTTGGTCTGAAGTTTCATCGGTGGTAGTGTCCAGGGTCACTGATGAGGAGTGGAATTCTTCGAAACTAGTCTGGCTTACAGACATCCTCCCAGTGAAAGAATAGACCATTCCAAGCTTTTACTTGTTGTTAAACAAATGTTTAAAGAACTCTATTCAATTAAGTTATTCACTGTTAGAAAACTATGGTTCAACTATGAGCACCTTTTTACACATATTTTATGATTCCAGATATTTTCTATCTTGGTTGTTGAGAATTTCTGTGTGAATGCAAACTGTTTTTGTTAGAATTTCAGAGACTCCAGAAGTGAAAATGCCATTGTCAAACTTAGCAAAAGTATTTGGACCAACGCTGATTGGTTTCTCATCGCCTGAACCATCACCAGGTGAAATGTTTGCCGAGACAAAACAACAGCATCTTGTAAGTCATTGTGGTATAAAATAAGACTTGTTTAGCATAGCACTGAAATTAACCAGCTAACTAACAGGTTTGTTTTAATATAGGTTAAGTACATAGTTTTCGTAAATCATTATTAATATTTAAATATAGCCATTTTATAAATAATAAATTACAATATTTTCAAAAGTATTCATTGCTGTTTGCAGGATTATATGTATAATCTGTGTAGGAAATCTTAAGGAATTGTCTAAAACTTCTATTAGATGTCATCTTGCTTGATATAATCTGTGTAGGAAATCTTAAGGAATTATCTAAAACTTCTATTGAATGTCATCTTGCATGGAGAAATTTTGATCATGATAAAACTTGTGTTACAAATATATTATGCCTTAGTTTTCTGCAATGTTCAAATGGAACATAAGGAATACAGTGGTTTCTCACCTCGCAAATCTGCGAGAGGATTTTAGTAATACGTGCGACATTCTCAAATGACGTGAAATGGAAAGTATACGTGAAAAATAGTGAAGGATATGGGCTTGTAATGCAATAAAACAATTCTTGCAATTCAAGAAATAAATTATAAAAATTAAATAAAATTAAAAAACATCTTTGAGGGTTATTTTCATAGTTGGAGAAATGTAGCTGACATTTTACACTGTTGTCTAGTTTCTTTAGTAAATTGATGCCTCTGGGAAAAAAAAATATAACGTAAAGAAACTAACAAATCATTTAGAAACATTATACCTTGAATTATTTTTAAAATTGTGAATAGGAAATAATTTTTATTATTAAATCTTTGGATATTTTTAATGTAAATTTATTTTAAATATAGATTCTCTGCATGTATACATGTTTGGGAAATTAAGCATATTAAATAAAATTATGTAAAATGGTAATTAATTGACTTCTAGAAACAGTTGTGAACTAGTTAGGTAAATGTAGATTTGTTAGTCCACATTGATGATTCACAGTTTAAATTTTGAAACATTCACAGATTGTCTAGATGATATTGCTATAATAATATACAAATTAGTATGAGCTTACTTCTAAAAATATGATCTTGGTTTTAGAAACAATGGTTCCTCAAATTGCACTAGAGTTTCAAGCTATACAGGTGTGTATCAAATAATTGTTATATTTTGTTGTGTATTTCAGGTTATGGAGAAACTTCTAAACATACCTAGTGATTACTGGGAAACGTTTGTTAATGTTGAAAACGATGACCTCTACCCTAATGTACCAAAAACTCCAGAGACTAAGCCAGGTACAGTCAAAGGTTTCTAATTATTGTTATTACTGTAAAATCTTGTGATTCTTGTTTTCAAATAATTAGCTTTCAAGCATGCTGTTCTGTGGTGGTCATTAGCTCTTCATATTTTTTATTTATACACATTATATATATATATTATTTTTATTTCAAGATTGATACAAGTTTGCAAAAGAATTATCGTTGTTCTGAGCACTCAATATTTTTATGACAGAATAGATTCTGTCATGAAGAATTAATAACATAACATAATTCATTTTTTATAACACGTTATACATTTTAAGACTGGGCAGTCATGGTTAAGTAACTTTACTAATATCTAATTACAAAGTGTCGTATCAAGTTTTGCTGTTAATTATCAATCATTTGTTTTGTAATTAGTATTAATCGTTTAGTAAAATCATATTTTAAGTTTGTCTGTTGCACTGAGAATTTCTAATTCTTAGATATAAATATTTTTGGTAGACATTTTTCTTATCTTTATTATTGTTTTTGTAGAGAATGATTTATACATTCAAATTAGGAAGATCAGATAAAGTTTCCCCGTTGAGGTTGTCACGCGAAACATGGTATTAGAAGTCAAAGCAAGGCTTCACTGTTATTGCTACTTGGATTATTTGTGCGACTCAGTCTATATTACGAGATATTCTGGACTAGAAAATGTACAAAAACTACGACTATTGACACAATCTTAATATTTTGTCACCTATAAAAGTGAAAAACTGCTATTTTTATAAACCATATACAAAGACTTATTTTTGCCAATTTTTAAAATTATGCTTACTATACGCATGTATAGTCATAGGCCTTGGGAATATACTACACCTAGACATAAATCACATCCATTAAGGTGTCGGTGACCTAACTGTATGTGTTAAGAACAATTAAACACTTTAGATATTGTAACTTACTATTATTATTATTAGAGACTAATGTGCAAAGAAATGCGATGTGAAATAGTTAAAAATTTTATGAAGTTTTTGATTTTAGCCCCTTTATAGCCCTCCAAAATGTGCCTCTAAGTTCCTTCCTTTCCAGGCAACTGTGTATTTTGTCTGCAGAATTCCTTCTGAAGCTTCTCCAAATATTATGTTTACCCATTGTTATTAAATGTTTCTCATCTGATAGACTTTTTATAATCACATGTCACTTATGAATCAACTGGAGAACAAGCTGCACCCTTGCTTTCATTCAAGGTGTGTGTTACGCCCTGTCTTTCTAGTTATTATTAAGCCTCAAGATTTTAAAACTAATAAGATTTGATTTGCTAATCCAAAGCATTTCCCATCCACATGTGTGAAATGAATGTTTCTTCTGACATATGTCTATTTTCAAGTTTTGTCAGTATTACAGGATTTGTTTTTCATTTCCCTAGCTCCTGAGGGAAGTATCTTGGGTCCTCTGTCAAGTGGAAAACGTCAAGGTTCCTGGTCTAAGAGAAGCGGTGGCGTTTTACTAGGGAAAACACCTTTAACCCCCAGGTAAATATGTTTTACTAGGGAAAACACCTCTAACCCCCAGGTAAATATGTTTTACTAGGGAAAACACCTCTAACCCCCAGGTAAATATGTTTTACTAGGGAAA